TATATATATATATATATATATATATACATATATATATATATATTTATACACACATATATATATTTATACACATAAATATATATATATATATATATATTTATACACATAAATATATATATATATATATATATATATATATATATATATATATATACATACATATGTATAAAGGTGTTTTAAACACTTCCACACTCTTGCAATATTCTAAACAATTTTTCTAAACACTCAGAATGTCATGATTTCAGCTCCCTGCCTCCGTTGCTCTTTGCCACATGCAAGCACTCTTAGCCATGGCCACGCCCACTTCTCCGCTCTGCTCTGCACGGTGAACAGCTGATCAGCCGCAGCAGGAAGCTTTTCCTGCAGTGTGGGCTGCACAAATGTGCGAGGTGCTAAATAATTTTAAATAATTTATATTTTTAAAAAATCCATGCCCATCGTGCAGCTCATCCATCAGTCAGCCAATTGTGTGTCATGTTCAATCTTATTTTGAAAAACCGCGATAGAGCGAGTCCGCGATAAATGAACCACGAAGTAGTGAGTGACTACTGTATATTTTAAAAATGGTCATTTCAAGCAGATAATTAAAGAGGTAATTTTTTCCCCCTCAGGAAGGCTTACTGTCAAAAAATTACAAAAATACGGTATATTTTTGAACTCCACTGTTAGCTGTATGGTTTCTTCCTTCTGCTGTAGGGAGAAGAAGGAGCTGAAGAGGCAAATGGATCGAAGGAGGACTGAGAAGATCAACCAAGCGAAGACTAAAGAGAAACATCTGGCTGAGGAGTATGATCAATAAGGACATACAGATACGTTCTGTATCTAAAACAATTTACTTCACACATCTGCTGTAGCTTCTTCATCTGCCCCAAGAAATGATTTGTACAGTTCACATTAGAAAATAACATTTTAACCCTAAATTTATGTGTTTTTTTGGTTTTGTTTTTGTCTCAGGGAGAAAATAGAGATCAATAAATCATATGTCAACGAGGTGGTTCAGAATATTAAACGGGTGAGATGAAAGAAATCTGGACTCTAGGACTTTTAACTGTGTCTCTGTTGTTGTACAGGAGTGACATGTCTGAACTGTTTGTCTGCAGCTGGAGGAGACTCAGGCGAAGCGTCACGATCAGCTGGTGGAGCAGCACAATGAGCTCCTGCAAGAGATACAAGACCAGAAACCAAAGGTAAAAGCTACGTTAAGTGTGTTTCTTTTCCTTCTTGGTGAAATGCAACAGTTTGTCTTGACATTTAAATGATGCAACACAAACTCTGTTAGATCAGTTCAGAGTTCAAACGTTTTAAAATCCTGTTCACAAGAATGGTTAAAATGACACATGAACACTAAGAACACAGACATTCTACAGAGCTGTCAGCACAAAACGATACAGTGCTATTTAAAATGCCTAATTAATAGATGATTAGTCAGGTGCATGTATTGCAGTTTGAACAGAAGAAAGTTTATATCTATTTCACTTTGCTTTATGGTAACCCATAAAATAAAATAAAATGGGATAAAATGAGATAAGAGAATAAAAGGATTCTTATAAGTATTTAAGAGACTTATGGCAACAAAGACAAAACTGGCTTTAAAAAGTTTAATTTCCTGTTTTGGCACCATGCACTGTATCTGTGTCCTTACAAGAGGAGCCAGATTTCCCAGTGCAGCAGTCCTTTAAGATGGATCCAGATACCCTCTGATCCTGCCTGGGGTACATTTTGGATTCAGCTGTATCCCTTCATCTTCCAAAATGTCCAAAAACATGCATGTTAAGCTGCCTTCAGGCCCAGGCCTTCTTTGCAAAAGAGATCTGTGATCTCATTGGGATTTCCCTTAAATAAAGGTTAATAAGCATCCTGTGCTCCAGCATCAATGTGTGGCATGGAGGCTGCACAGCTGCAGAAAGAAAAGCTTTGCAGAGAGTGGTGAAGGCTGCACAGAAATCTGTTGGAATCAGCCTCCCCACCATCACAGACATCTACACCTCCAGATGCAGGAAGAGGGCCACCTGCATCATGAAGGACCCCACCCACCCAGCACACACACTTTTTGCCCCACTCCCCTCAGGAAGGAGGTTAAGGAGCATTAAGTGTAGAACCACTAGACTGAGGAACAGCTTCTACCCTGAGGCTGTTAGACTCATGAATCTCTAACTAGAATAATCACTGTGAAAAACCATATCATGTTGCTGCTGATCTGTTTCATGTTGCTGCTGATCTGTTTCATGTTGCTGCTGATCTGTTTCAATGTTGATGTGTTCATGCGTGCACATCTGCTCACAGACTCATGTTCATGTTTGTGGTGATGTTCAATGTTTTATGTTATGAGTGCTTAGTGTATATTTAGTTGATGTTTTTCTTAGTTCATATCTTAGATGTTATTACTGTTTTTCTTATACATTTTATTGTTGGATGTAACTGGGACCCTGTGTACATAATTTCGCTCCACCACATGTACCACATGAGGTGCGAATGACAATAAAGAAACTCTGACTCTGACTCTGACTGACTCTGATAAATAAAGGTTAACAACTTACTGGACCACTTCACTGGGCAGCTGTGGCTGAGTGGTTAGAGCAGTCGTCCTCCAATGCAAGAGTTGGGGGTTTGATTTCACCAGCAGTCACATGCCAAAGTGTCCCTGGGCAAGACATTGAAACCCTCATGTGTGTCTCATCAGTGTATGACTGTGATAAAGCACTGATTAGTCTTTGTATAGATATAGTAGAGTAATGTATGAACGGGTAAATCTGTGCTCAGGTTGTAGTGTAAAGCACTTTGAGTATCTGGACAAGACAGAAAAGTGTTATATAAGTACAGTCCATTTACCATTTACTATCTGGTTCAGACAGTTCTTGTTTCTAACTGAAAGGTTGCCGAACCAAGACACCAAGCAAAAAGACAAAACTGATTCAATAAAAGTACCATGAAACAAGGTCAGCAGAGTTTTGTTGATGCTCCTAAGGTCAAAAAGCTTCAATGTGTGATGAAATAAGCAAAGGAGAAAAAGCAAAAGAACAAAAGAGGAAGGTAAATAAATTCAAATGCATCATCACATTAAGCACATCCAGTCCCCCAGCCCAGACAGAGTAATATTGTGTATGCTGTTCAGTGTCAGGAGGACTGTGATCATTCTTATATCGAGGAAACTAAACAGCTACTGGCCAAAAGGATGGTCCAGCACAGAAGAGCAACACCAACTGGCCAGGACTCTGCAGTTTACACTCATCTCCAGGCCAGAGGTCACTCTTTCAAGGATGAAGATGTTCACATCCTTGATAGAGATGAACAATGGTTTGAGAGATGAATGAAGGAATCCATCTTTGTGAAGAGAAACCGTCCATCATTAAACAGGGGCAGAGGTCTCCATGTTCAGCTGTCTCCCTCTTACAATGCTGTGATTGCTAGTGTCAAGTTAGGTGGATGAAAAGAGGTGTTGAGGTCAGACTGCTCATGTATAGTGGATGTGGACATTTGAATAAAGCAATCTTAAAAGTTAATGAATGTTCATTAAAATAAGTTTTGTGAGTGTGTTCATTAAAATAAAGTTTTTATGTCTGTCTGTCAAGGTGTTGAAACAATCAAAAGTTATTATGATCTTTTTTGTAATCAAAAAGATCCTATATAATCTATTTTGTGATCAAAGAAGTATTCATTAAGTGGTTGTAAAAGCTAGATCTGGCTTTCACTTTTAATTGTTAAGTCAAGCTATTTTAGAAGAAGGGTTTTTGTGAGTTTATACCTCTCTTTTAGTAAGTATTTTTTTTACATTTAGGATTATAAGTGCAGAGTTGAGAAACATAGAGTGTCAGTTGAAGCAAATGACAGGAAACTCAGCAGTGCAGTTAGAGTGGTTAGACTTCACATACACATCCTGTTACAGATGTGTTGTCTTGTCTTGTTCTGCAAAAAGGCACAAACTGTGAGTTTATACCTCTCTTAAAGTAAGTATATTTTTTTACATTTGGGATTAAGTGAGTTTATATCTCTATTAGTAAGCACTTTTTTATGTTTAAGATTGAAAGTTGGGAGTTGTGAAATAATAGAAGTGGCTGCCAGATAGAAGGAAGTTAGCAAAAGTTGCAACACTCCAAGAGACTGTTAGGCAGAGCACCTGTCATGAGCTTACAACAGAAAGGAAGTACACTATCTAGACAAGTTGTTGCATAAAAAACACAAGTTGGAAAAAAGGAGACAAACTGTTAAACTGTTGAAAAGTTCAAAATGGTTGACAATTTTTCAAAATGGACATTAGATCATAGATGAGCCAATCAGGGAATGGATGATTAGGTCTGAAATAAGCCAATCAGAGACAAGAGACGAGTATAGCAGAGGAAAGTTGGTCAGTCATTTCGGGTAGAAGAGGAATACGGTTGTCAAGCCCTGAAGACTTGGAACAGATCTGAAGATTGAAGAGAGAAGATTTTGGCTGCAGAAGAGCTGAAGAAACAAGAACAGAAGATGGAAACTTAAAGCAATGAAGAATCACTCAGCAGCGCATGATCGCCTTTCAAGACGACTGACCCCAGGTAACTCTGAACAAGTCTCTGATTGGAATTAATTACATTTGATGACTGTTTTCAACAAAGGCTGTAAGAATTTGTCTCTTTTTTTCTGGAAAACTGATCCAATCATGGGGTATGCAGTAGGAACCAGCTTTTTTAACCATTTTACCCAATTTAAAAATTACAGGTTACATTTTGAGGTTTTTCTAAGGGAAAGCGCGGCGTAGGCCGATTATAAGAGATTATTATAAGAGATTGGTGCATCCACACCTAGAGGAATTTGGATGTTCACCCATTTTTTAGTTTTAATTTCATTCATTATACTGGATTTTTTAAAACGCATTTGCTTGCACTGCTGCTGGATTTTTGAAAGCTATGAATGTGACTTTATGCAAATTTATGATTAAAAACGCAAAGCATGAAAATCATAGCGTGTTGGACTCATTTACCTGATGGCATCTGAATGATACACACTCTTTGCTGAACTTACTCAGGAAGAGTGCTTGGTTCTTAGATTTTGGGAGGTTTTTAACAATTACTTAGTTAGATTTTTGAACAGCATCTCCATATGGCCAACTTGTCCTGGCCTAGGAAAATTGCCAGGCCTTGTACCAATTGCGAAACGTCAAATAGAGAAAGAGCATCCATATAATGCAGGGTACCTTATGGTAAACTTTGGGGTCACTGCTACTTGATTCTAAGAGCTGTGAGATGAAAAAGGTGTGCATCCTACAGATGAAGGTTGTTAGTGCCTGGTTGAATCTTTCTCGAACCCAGACTAAGAGGGCCTGACCTTAATACGGTTTGGGTAATACTCAGGAGTCTGGGGGGGTCTAATTACCGGTTACACGAGGGCTGGAGGAGTGTTCAACCCTGAGACAAAAACACTAGTATTACTCAGCCCTCTGTGACTAGCAAGCAGCCGTCAGAGCACTGACGATCAAGAGTTAGGCTGATGGTCCTCTGTTGACATGCGAGCTAGTTCTGGATGTCACTAGCAAACTGGCTGATCCACTAAAAACTATTTTGGAAAATTTTGCAACATTCATAAGTCAGAGATTTTTTTAGGCTGAAAAATAAGTAAAATAGTATTTTAAATAGTACTTTACCTGGAGTTTTAACCAGAGACAAGCCCAGCACACTGCTGATAGGTCACATTAAAGTAGGCATAATTTAGGTCCAGATATTCCTCAAACCTGGCCATTTGACTTGGTGTGTCGTGTAGCTGGGTACCAGAGGCAACATGACTATGAGCCCAGACATGGAGCTTCTCCTTCACCAGGATAAAAGCAGCCCTCTGTCTGCCTACAGCTAGTGTGAAGTCCAGGAAAACAGCCACTCTTTTCCTGTTGTGCAGCAAGATGAAAGCCTGTCTAGCATGGCATAGAAGAACATTCCTGGTTTGAAATTGACCGTTGATCATGGCGGCTTACCCTCCCTTGGTTTGGCACATAGTGTGTGGTGTGCCCTGTCCAGGCTAGGTTTCCCCTCAAGCCCGAAAGGTTCTTAATAAATTAATCCATAAACTCTGCAGGGTTCTGAGCTCTTTGGAAGGCCCACAAGTTAAATATTTTTTTTCTGCCTAGAGTACATCTTCACATTCCTTGCGTGTACCTCCACTTAGAACTTTGCCACATTATTTGTGCATTTTATTTAGCTGGCCAGTTTGCTCTTTGTTGCTCTTGAGATGACAAAAAGTTCCATTTCTCCAAACAGCTTGTTCTTCCAATGGTTTTAAAGCATCCACCACTTCCTTTGTAACCAACTTTGACTGAAATTTGTTCATAATTCCAGCTCCTAAGTCATCTATCATACCTTCATGCACTGTAGCATCTTTTTATTAACATCCAGCTTCTCAGGGTACTCAGGCTTGGAGGTCGGGTGGCTCGGCCTTCCTTTGTCAGGCCTAGAAGATTTGCTTTTTTGTCTAAAGACTCTAAAAGACATTTCTTCAGATTTGGCTCTGAGGGCATAGAGGTTCTGATAAGTTTTTGAACACATAGCCATGGCAACCAATGGACAGACTTTAAGTGTTAATTATTATATATTTTGCCAACATTCTTGCAGAGCACCTGTGAAAAGTAGCCTAGCCTGCTTTCATCACTTTGCGGCTCAATGTTAGGAATCAAATATTTTGTTATAGAAAAAACTAGAGCTGTTTGGATGAAACGTTTCTAAAACGGTTATATGTCAGTTTTTTCAGGATCTGTGTTTTGGTCTTCTATGATTCTTGTATTTAGTTGTTCTGTGGTTTTGATTATATTTATGCGCCCAGCTTCTCCAATGTTTTCCCCTCATGTAGCTCAGCTCTTGTCCCTCCCACTCTAACCTGTTCCACCTCTATCTCCCCCAAATGTTTGTCACATTCAGAGTCCCTGTGTCGTTTTGTCGCTCCCTTGTCCATGCATTGGGCTTCCTAAAGCTTCGCTCCATCGTGTCTTCCCTGATCTGGTTTTGTTGTGTATGTTTTACTGCCACATCAGCTTTTATTTTTTGTTATTAAATTAGTTTATTATTTTTACCTTTGAGTTCTTTTGAGTTTCTGTCTGTACCCTGTGTTCAACCCCCTTCAGCAAACATGATAATTTAAAGTTTGTTACTCTGTGTTAAAGAAGCTGAGAGCTGCTGTCAACAAGACAGATACCAGACTGAATGAAGTACCATCATCATCAATGTTAAAAGATTGAGCTATAATACAATACATTTTTTTTGTTGAAATACTTATTAGAAATAATATTAATTTCAAGTTCATGTGTGAAACTTTTTTATTTAGGAAAATGATTGATATTTTGTGTCCTTCACAGAGCAAAGAGGGGGAATTGAAAATACCATCTGTTCATCTATGCATTTTGTGAGAATGAAATAGTTACCACAAATGGTTGGGGTGGCCAAAGATTAATCTTTGGTGGTCAAGACCACCATTGGCCACCCGCTGGCTCCACCACTGCACCTGATGGTGGATAAAATATCTCCCTCCTCTCACCAGGATCCATCACCCTGCTCTGTCTCAGATAGGGAAAAACCAACTAGCACCGTTCTTCTCCACAGTGTAATTCTTCCACACAATATACTGCAAGAAAAACATTAAGGTTTACTGCATTCCCTGTTCAATTCCAGTCCAGAAAAACATTCAAAAACTACAAACATTCACTTTTCAATTCCTCCAGCAATGAGGGACATTGGTGTACAGCTTATTTATAAATTATTTTATCACAATGTTTTTGGTATTTTTGTCTAAATTGATTAATTTTATTGACATTTTATTTTCTTATTTAATATTGAAACTCTTATTAATCACCAAAATAATGACAAATTTACTTTTAAAAAATGTAGAATGTGATTACATTAAAAAAAAAAACTTGAAATGTAGACAAATAAATGAAAATTGAAAAAGAGAGGACACCATTTATCCTTACTACATGAGAACTGTACGATAAAAAGTCTGAAATGTTGCTCAAACTTGTGCCAAAAAAGATTTTGGAGTGCAGGTCTGATCCCAAGGAGGCCCTTAGTGAAATGTATACACTGATCAGTTCATACCTTGAGTCCAGTTTGGACTCTCTTAAACTGAAATGGGAGGTGGACTTGGAGGAGGATTATTGAGAACATTCACTCATCTTCAATTTGCCTGAGACATTCTGTAATCCAATTCAAGGTAGTGCACAGACTGCACTAGTCCAAAGACAAGCTGTCCAGGATGAAGGCCAATCTGGACCCAGCATGCAGTCATTGTAAACAAAGTCCAGCTACACTCCTGTATACATTCTGGACCTGTCCTGAACTGCACTTTTTGGCAATCTATATTTGACACCTTCTCTGGGATATGTGGAAAAACTGTCCACCCATCACTATTCATCGCACTGTTCAGGGTGGTCTCTGGGGGTGCATCTTTCAACAAATGCGAGAAGGATGTGATCGCCTTCGGCTTTCTTTTGGTCAGGAGGTTAATTTTGTGCAATTGGAAGGACCCACACTCCCCAGCACATGTACATTGGATAAAAGAAGTGATGTGCCATATCCACATGGACAAAATAAGATATACCCTGAAGGGATCTGTCAAGAGATTTTGGGACATTTGGTGGCCATTTATGTTGTATGTTGACAACATGTCAGTACCTGTGTAGTTTTTTTATGCACGTTTGACTGAGCCTGTGCAGGAGGGGTTTATATGTTCTTAGTGTTCTCTTTTTATTTTCTGTTTGTATATAAAAATAAAAATAATTTGTTAAAAAAAAAAAAAACTTGTGCCAAGATTATAAATGGTTAAATGTTTGTTTTCTGGATCCTGTTAAATGCCGAGCAAACATATTTGTTACTGGTCATTTAATGTTCAGCAAGAAATAACGTCTGCTTCGTGTGGATTGTTTTCCAGTTGCAGGCAGTCGTGGATTCAGAGTTTCAAGAGAAGTTTCAGCGTTTGCCTGGAGAGATTCACGACTTCCTGCAGGACAGGAAGATGGAAGGCAGAGCTCGCAGCAAGTCCCGTCCGACAAGTCTGCACGAAGCTCTGTCAGAGGAGGACTGAGGGGAAATGATGCTCTGGAAAATGTGAAACAAAGAAGAATGAAGCTGTAAGGACAAGACAGTAAGACGCACCGGTGAAGAAGGAAATATCCACATTCTGAAGACTGTTACTTCACTTTTCAATAGAAAATACGTTATCAATTTTTTTTTAAATGTAGTTGAAGCATGCACTTTGTTGTACTTTGGCATTTCATTAGAATCTAGTTGTGGCAGCCATCTTATAATGGGTTGACCCCTAAAGTGCATCCAATGATTAAACTGTCAAACTCCGTTACAACAAGGAGTCAAAATTAAAACTTGGTTCAAACTAAGGGCCAGTTTCAGTCAATACATTCACTCAAGTCTGATACCTGACATTACAAGTTCCTCAAGAAGCGTTTGATTGGTCTGATAGACGTTCTCTTTTGCTCTTTCCACATCAATATCAGTGATTACTGAAAAATCCCATGTTGTGGGCTTCAGAGTTGACCATCAGTCATGAGAAGTCTGCACTAAATAAAGTTTGTTCAGTTTCTAAAGCAAAGCGAGAGGTGATAAAAATGTCTTGGAATTAAAGTGTCCTCTTAGGGGCCAGATAAGATGTTTACAAGGACCATATTTGGCCCACTGGACTTGTGTTTGACACATGTTTGAAGGGGTGATTCAGTTTTGAACATTTTCACAAGCGTACGAACCGTAAACTGTGTGTGTGTGTGTGGGGGGGGGGGGCAGGTTGGGGGAGGTGTATGAAACGCTAATGCCTGTTTGAGCGTCTCTTTGTGAGAATCCCATTGTTAGTGCTTTAGCTCTTATAATTAAACAATATTAACACTAAAAGATGAATGTCTTAAGCCCCAGATTATAGCAAAGATCTCAATTTATCTTTATTTTATTTTGCCCCAAACTCACAAAGTTCTCTCTGTGAGAGAGTCAGGTGTTTGTAGTTTATCATAAATATCTGTTAAGCCTGTATCTGTACGTTTTAATCTATTTATAGTTGTGTACAAATGTAGAACGGCATGAATTTCACCTTAAGTACAAAATCCTTGTAAGCACATGGGTTTTATGTTTCAGCTTCATTTATTTCAGGTTTTGTGAAAGTCAACATTACGTACACTTTTGTAGAATAGCAATATGTTTTTTATGCTTGTGAAAACGTTAAATTGTGAACCAACCCTAAGCCTTTTAATAATATATGTTCACTGGGTCTTCAGGCATGTTGCAATCAAATGTCCACAAATAGGCACATGGAAAAACATTATCACCCAGCTTTCAGTAAATACCCACAGAACACTGGGTTACCTAAAGCAGACTGTTCTGATCATTTCTATTTCATTGGCCTGTCATGTTAGCAAAATATCTTCAAAGCCAGTGAACAGATTTTGATGAAACTGTTAGACAGTAATCTCTGAACTACAACCAATTTACTTTTGGAGTCAGTGCCAATAAAGATGGCTGCCAACGCTGAAACAAAAACGTCTATAACTCGGTCCTTTTTTTTTTTTTTTACAGATTTTGAGTTAAAGTTTGGTGAGGTAGTAGCTGAAAGTGATTCGCACCAGAGACTCTGAGCACCAGGCAGCTTTAGCATGAAAGACTACAGGAGACGTGCAGACTTTCAAAGAATGCTAGTTTTTATTGTGCAACTCATTAACACAAAGTGATCACTTTAACAGGGACCAGTCATGAAATCAGAAGATTCACACAAATGGTGAAACCTGCACTTTGGATCTATTTAATATCGGCTCACTTTCTCCTCAGAAGTATTTTTCTCCTTCGTTCATGGGATGTTTGGCATTTTGGGAGAAGTCGTCAAAGGTGACTTAATTAAAGCCGTTTATGGACTCCTCTGACGTCAGAGAGTAGAAACGGAGCTGCAGATAGTTTTTGTATTTTCCTCCAGATGACGTCCTCTGAGTTCCCCGTTTGTTGGGCGTGAAGGAGTCTGCTGACCTTTGCATGACCTGTGTCAACACGAAGCTCACACGTACTCAACATTTCAATGATCTGTTTATTTATTCGGTGGTATTTTGTGATATTTGACAAACTTTTTAAAGAGTTGGAATTTCTTTTTGTTATAAAAAATGTCAAATGAGTGGAGCTTGTTTATTTATTTATTTGTTTGTTTGTACTGTGATTCTCCGGGACAATATCTGCTGCAACATTTCTCATGGTTTGTGTGTCTCTTGGATTTAAAAACCCTGAAATGCAGGTCATAAAATGTTTTCCACAAGTTTTTTTTTCTTTCTAGATCTTGGTGCCACAGACGAGCTGGTCTGTGTGTCTGAGACTCTCCTCGTTGAACGCAGCCCTGTTTTAGCTGATATACTGAGCATGCTTCCCAGTGTTTCTCCACCAGTTGAACTTTTCTTGTTTTTACTGAATGCTATTTGAAGACGAGTTCAAATTAATAAAACAAATTGTTAACGGGTGAGTTGCTGGTTGATTCAGAAATGCACTAATGACAGGGGTGATCCAGACAAAACTTTGTCTGAAAAAAAAAAAAAGTGAATATTTTGAATCAGTTTGACATGACTGTAGTATGTACATATACTGATATATATTCATACTGTTAAAATGGATTCTTTCATTTTTCTGGACTGTATAATAACGTGCATCTGAATTAATAAAATGTGGACGGAAACGTTAATTATCTTTGACTCACCAACGACAGTGGGTCATTTATTAACAGAATCAAGTTTAACACATCACACATTTACATTAATTGGCAAGAATTGAAAATAACGACAGCTTATTAATCAGTTTTACAGGAAGTAAACAATGCAGCGATTGTTCTCACTTCCAGCAGAACCACAAACGTCAACCACACGGCGGTGATTGAAAAACTTTGCTTCAGACATTTCTAAAAATATCTTAGCAGATAGAAGAATTTTAAAGATGGAAAGATGAAGTTTATCTTGAGAGAGATGTGTGAGGGAATTTGTCTGTTTTAACCAGAACAACACGCTCCTTTGGACCAGCTTATCCCAACGGTACACTTTGGTTGAAGATCGACTTTTACCTTTCTGAAGATATGTCAGTTCCGGCGTAAAGTTCCACTTCGAGCCACTTTTCAGCGTCTCCGTAAGAACAGCTAAACCTCGGGAGTCGTGAGATCATCCAGGACAGACTTTCATAATTCCCAGATCTTCTCTGGTTCAGTTTGATTCTCTTTCAGCAGCATCCTGAATTCCAGCCTTCATGAACTCTGGAACTGCTGAAACTAGGAAGTGCTGCACCTTTTTAAAAAGGGTCACTTCCGGTTCATTTGAGAACTTTCTGATTGGTCGAATGGACCAAACAGAGGTGTGTTTTGTGATGTAAGGTGTTATGAAAAGTCAAGGAAAAAGATTAAGATTGTTTAAGAACAGACAAAAGATTGTTATGAAGAACTCAGACTTCGTGGAGTCACTTCTCCAGTATCTTGCTGTAAAAGTTAAACATGACATTTCTTTTCAGTAAACTTGCAGTTGACCGAAACTTGAACTTTGAACAACTTACACACTTGCTCACTGAAGACAGAAAATCAGACAATGCATCATTAACCTGATTTCTTCTTTGAATGAGGATTAAGAATCATTATTACTGTTTCACAGTTAATAAAAAATGAGTAGTTCACTTCAACATGTAAACATTGTTTGAACTAACACACTTTGATTATCAAACATTTGTAAAATAGTAATGATAATAGAGAATAGTCTTCTTTCACTTGATTAACTTAAGAAAGAAAGTCTCAGGATGGGTCAACCTGTATTTCTGGATGCAAATCAATGAAATGACAAGTTCTGTCCCATATGGTCCTTAAGGTCAAGGTTTTGACATCAGGCCTAGTTCACTACATGACTGTTGACGAGAGATAGGGTGAACACCAGAGGCCATCGGAGCACCAACATAACTGTTTTTTTCCACTTTGGAGTGGAGAATCAGTTTTGTTTGGAGTTTCCTCAGACTGATGAAGCCCTTCGGATGGAGGGTGAAACATCTCAGCACAAAAAAAATAAACCGTCCAGATGACCTGACTGAACATTGCTGGATTTTATACCTGGATTATCGAGCATGAACTTTGGTGCATATGCGTAGTTTGTACCATTAACACAAACCATGAACCACTGGGTGAACTTTGAAGAAACTCTCAGGAAGTAACGCTGATTACACTTTGAAGTCAACCAAATTCAAGGTGGCTGACAAACAACCATTCACTCTCTCACTCACACCTAGGGACAATTCAGAGTTACCAATCAGCCTAACATACATGTTTTTGGTCTGTGGGAGGAAACCGGAGCACCCGGAGAAAACCCACACATGCACGGAGAGAACATGCAAACTCCACCCAGAAAGGCCCCCTGACCGGGATTTGAACCAGGGACCTGCTTGCTGAGAGGCAGCAGCTCTACCAGTTGCGCCACCGTGCTGCCCTTGTTTGATTTATTTCTTAATTTATTTAGACGTGGTGGTGGTTAACGTTTTACGAACTGACTCTGAGTTGAACCGACTGTTCACAGGTTGATTGAATAATAATAATAAGATTAACAAATGATTATAGGATGACAAAACTAACAAGATAAATTGCATTTCCTGTGGAAAATGCAGAGTGAATGTTGACGGCTAAATAATTTTGCTGAAAGCTGCTTAAAAATAAACAGAGTTTACTTAAAATGCATCAACAGCTAATAAAACTTGAAAGGCGAAGCAGCAGGAAGCACAAAAAAAGCAAAATAAAACACTGAAAAAGCAAGGAAAGGTTTAAATTAGGTTTAAAAGTTACAATGTGGAGAAAAGCAACTAGCAAAACTAAAATGTCAAAGTAGTGTAAACAAAGGCACAAGTAGAGAAAAACTGTAAAAAAGGAACAGAAGCAAAAAATGCTAACTAAGAGCTAGATGTAGGGAAATATTAGCAATTAGCAAGGGGAAAAAAAGCTTAAAACCAGAAGTAGTGAAATTCTATTGAGGAATAAAGAAAAGGCTAGCTTAAATCCATAAATAGCAAAAGACAACTAAAGAAAAAGAAAAAGGCATTTTAAACTTAGAAGTGGAAAAGTAGATGAGAACAAACGAAATAGAAAAGCTCGAGTTATCAGAAAGTAGCTAAAA